TAATCAACTCATCTAATGTTTCATTGCCACTAGTCCATCCTTCAGTTAACAACTTTGGATCACATGATTGACACCATAAATAACTAGTATTATATTTATTGCAAGTTGGACATTCCCCATTTCTTTCTTTTCTTTTATCAGAATATTCATCTTTTTTGTCAGTAGAAGTATTATCATGATGCTTATTTTCATCCAAAATGGTTTCCATCGTGGTTTTTGTATATTTGTCAAAAAAAAATTAGAACTTTTTTTTTTCAGCCACAAATATGTATCACAAAAATATATTAATTTTACAATTCAGTATTACTGTAATAAATATTGTAAGCGTGGCGATCTGAATTATTGGAGTCACCAAATATGGCAAACTAAATTAAAATCACTATATACGACTATACTGCTTGATTAGGGCTTCTATTTGAATAAGGTTTATTCAAATTATTTATTTTACTCGTTATGAATTTGAGTATTTGAAGTTTATTTGAATAAAATAAATAACGAATAATTCGATAATTCGATAATTCAAATAAAATGAATGAACAAATAATTCAACTAAACAAACAAACAAATAATTCGATAATAAAGCAAGTAAACAAATAAAATTAATAAACGAATAGGTCGATTAAAACGAATAATTTGAACAAAACGAATAGTTCAAACAAAATGAATGGTTAGAATAAACGAATAAACGGATATTTCTAAATAAAATGAATAATTCAATTAATTCTAATAATAATTCTTATAAAACAAATAAAAAGAATAAAACGAGTAATTCAATAAAACGAATAAACAAAATAAAATGAATAATTCAAGCAAAACGAAGATTTGATTAAACGAATGATGATAATTCGAATAATAAACGAATGATGATAATTCGAATAATAAACGAATGATACAATTCGAATAATAAACGAATGATGATAATTCGGATAGATAACAATTCAAATAGACGAATAATAACAATTCAAATAAACGAATGATAATAATTTGAATAACAATTTGAAACGAATGATAAAAATTCAAATATACGAATGGTGATAATTCATACAAAACAAATGATTTGAATAATTCGAACAGAAATTTGTATTACAAATAGAAACTCTACTCTATTGCAGAGTCACCAAATCTGGCACAATAATGTTCAAAATAAACTAAAATCACCATATACAACTACACTACTTGAGGCATCCCTACAAGCAATATAGCAAAACTAATAAAAGTGGTCCCTAACTAATAATTAAATGTTGGCCAAACCATTAATCATCAGAAAGGGTTATGAAATCAATCAATCATGCCGGATTTATCAATTAATGAAAAGTGTTATTTTTATTACCAAAGTGTTATTATTGAAAGATCAATTATTGATTAAATTTTTTTCACAAAGGAGATTTCAAACATATTTATACTTCTTAAAGTATGATTTTTTACATGATTTTATCCAATAAAATAAATGATGACGAATTGACAATTACTAAAGTTAAATGTCAAAAATGTGTCATGAAATGTTTTTGTCATAATTAACAAGATTAAAATTTCGGATGCAAAGTGAACACGTGTTACATCAAAAAAAAATTTTTTTAATCAATTAATTCATATGTTAATAATATCAATTAATAATATTTTTTAGACTGTTTTAGTGTAAAAGATTTAATCATCTGTATTTAGACACAACATCTTTATTCACCTTCAGGCAATCAAAATCAAATGAAAAGATACCTAACTGGTCCCAAGAAGGAGCCCTGCTCATCGCCACATATTTTTATCAATCATTAGAGTCACATGTGGCAATCTCATGCCGTGGGTCTTGTGAGTTGTCAATACAAATGCATTCTGCAGTGGGAATTGGCACCTCGAGACATGTGTATCGTTTATTTCAAAATTTATAGTGATTTTTTTGAACGTTCATTTTAATAATGTTGCCATTAGTCGTAAAAGTAATTTCTACATTGGTGATCACACCTATCGTTCCATTGCAGATGCCATGTTCAAACAGCCTACCAACGAACTCATGCTTTAATACTTTAATAGAACTTCTCGTTATCATATAACATTATCTGTATCAAAAAAAAATAATCGTAAATTTTAGCCACAATTTAAAGGATGTTGTTTATTGTTTATAAATAAAATAATAATAATATTCAAATAAATTTAGTTGCGCAGCTGCGGGACACTACGTAACAATTCAAAAAACGGTTTTCGGATTTTGACGTATTTTACTCAATAAAAAGTAATAATTTTGGTTGTGCAGCTATGTAAACAATTGAAAAAAACGGTTTTTCGGATTTTGACGTATTTTTTTATTTTGCCCAATTACAATAAAAAGGTGTAACAATTTGAAAATTGTTTTTCGGATTTTGTTTGACACAAATCAGGTTTATCAGTCCCGTATTTTTTTCAAAAATTAACAATTGGAATAATCAAAATCTTATTTATTATTACAAATCATCCTAATTCGATAGATGATCAAGAAACAACATATTTTTTATTCGGCGACTATATAATGAACCTTTTTGAATAAAAAAAAAATTGGGGAGCAGAAGTTCATTGCAATATCATTGTAATATCATCGCAACAACAGGCAAGGCAATTGCAATTGCAATTGCAAAGAACAATGTTGTCAAAATTGCCAGTCCAATTGACGCAGTAAAAAAAGTGGCTTAGTTGTACATTGGACCAGTCCCAATTGGTTTGGATTGGATTTATTGGACTAGACTGGACTTATTGGACTGGACTAGATTTTATTTGGACTTTGTCATACAAAGATAAAAAATTTCTCAAATAATTTTATTACTGTAAAGAATGTAATCAATCACACACAACTTATTACTCTCCCAATGCCTTGAGGAAGTAACCAATACAAAAAATACTTTCACATTTTACCTGATAAACCAAATGGTTATAATCACTTGGGTATCTGCATTGCTTGTAAGGGCTCTAATATAAATATCAACGAATTGAAAATAACTTTAACTAAAAAAACTTGTCATAATCATTTGTTGAATTGTAAATTTTTTCGAAATAATTTTTCAAATGGTCGCTGATAATGATACAGAAACTACAATTGAAAATGAACTTTATAATAATGGCGAAGGTTTTATTAATACATAATCTAAAGAAATAAATAATTTACAAAATCTTTCTACTCCAAATAAAAAAGTCTCTTGGGTATGGATTTTAGTGCATTTATTTATTAAAAAGAATAAAATAAAAATAATAACTTTATTAATAATAATAATTGAAATTAAAATTATTATTACTGTTACGTGCACCAATGACAGATCGAATCATTCTTGCCGGAAAAACTTTTTAGGTGTTTATAGAATCTGTTTGGGTATACCTTATACTCATAACATTCGAATAAATTCGTTAAATCAAACAAACAATGAAAAGTAAACCAATTAAAAATTTGCACTAAATATTCTTCAAAATAGCTCTCCTGGAACTATTCCAAGCGGTGTTGAAATTCCCGAATTAAATCCGTGTCCAGATTGCGATGGAGGAATTTGTGTGTTCTATATACATAAAAATCATTCGCATGTTATCATGTGACTGGCTATACGTGTGCCAAAACACAAAAATAATAAAAATATCTTTCCCACTCATCTGGATTTAGGCTCGCTAAATTCATTCCACTTCATCACCTTCTTCTTGCTCATCCATAAAAAAGTTCACTGTTGAAAGTTTATTGATATAGAATAATGTAAATGGCTTTATTATTAAACAAAAAATAGTATTGATTACTGAAGGATTTGTAGTTTGTTTGATTAATTTGATTTTTACCTGAAAATGCGCGAATTGATGACGTTTTTATAACTAATGTCTATCTATTACTATTGCTTTGCTTTGATGCTAATTGAATTTAATTTTTTATGGTTAAGGATCATGATGAAATATGACAATCGTTAATTAATTACGTTTTATAGAGAGACATATGATAAGTAGAATCAAAGATGTAAATCGTTAAATTACATTGGTAATGGCTAAATTTTGATCCTGAAACCTTCTGGTGATGCAAATGTTTATATTACAAACATTACGTAAAAAGATTTAAAGATTCGCGAAAAAAAAAACAGATAAAATAACGAAAGGCGTATTTGACTTTCTATATCTATTTGACAAAGAAGTAAATAGGTTATTGACTTAAGTTGCCAATCAATTAATTAATTTTGCCATTTACTTTATATTTCTTAAAATATAAACAACATAAAGAGAAAGAAAAAACGTACATATTGTGTAATCAAATAAAATCAAAGAATAAAAGTAAAAAAGCTCGCTGTAAAATATCCATTTAATCTACTAATTTTTTCCAAAAAAAAATATATATATTAAATTTTATAAATACTTTTTTTTTTTTGATGTCAAGATTATTTTATCAATGATGAATTAATTATATATATAATTTCTCTGCTAAATTTGATTTAACAAATTAACAAAGATGTAATTTTTCTAAAATACTAAATATGAGCTATTTTGCCAAAATCTCTATTTTTGCAATCTTCTACACATGAAAAATAATTTAATGGAAAGTTTTTTTAGTAAAAAAAAAGGTATAATGGTTTAAAGTGGGGCAACTTTACTATGTTATTTGAAATTTCGGCAACTATACAGTATATTAATATCTAAACTGCAATTTACTGATTAGTTTCATGATTTATCAATTATTCACGCGACGAAGTCATAAATTTGGATTTATCTATATATATTGAGCGAGTTATTTATAAAGCAAAATCTGCATATATATATAGAAATTTTCGACGAGTGGCGCAGCAAGTGATGTCTAGATGATTTGCCATATTTGAAATGTTTATTATTATTTTTTTGGTGATCATCGATATCACAGATCAGCAATTAATATTAAGAAAAGATAGATATTTCGCGGCATCTTATTTTTTGAAACTTGGCCGTGTGAGATAGTAAATGGGGTCCCAATAATATTGATAGTAACAGAATGATCCTAAAATTAGGGTATTTAGAGTATTTAAATAAATTTGGGCGGTTTGATTGCAAAGCAAAGTTGCTTGATTTCATTTTTAGTTGAATGAAAATTTAAAGACCTCTCTTAATCAAAGCCCTTTATTAATTGCATCACAGTATCACTGAATTTTTTTGTCAATCAAAAAGAAGTTTAGATCAGAAAATTAAATAAAATTTTGGAATAAATGATTTATTTAATATTTCTTCAACTGAACAAAAAGTATATGCCTTATGGAAAGATTTCCTAAAGGATCAGACCATCTCACTCTTCTTCTCCCTTCCAAAAAAGCATCAAGTTCAAATCGAACTCCTTCTTTAATCTCTATTTCTCCCGCTAATTTTACTTTAAAACAATCACCACATTGTCATGCCCTCTGTCAACCTACATGGCGTGAAAAGCTAGCTGTTGAGCTTGACAGTTCTGCAATTGGTAGCATCTGGAAATTGGTGGATGCTCTCCTTAATATTTTATTATGCATAATTTATATAGCAAACACTGCTCACATGAACAAAGTTCTACCATTGCTGAATGTGTGGTTGGAAGCTTTAGTATCAGCTTTATTGATCATGGAATATATTCCAAAATTTTATATTTTTGAATTTTGGTCGTGGAAATCATTTTTCATGCCTTTCCTAACATTCCTGACAATATTTCCTGTTGGCGCTACTACCCTTGATCATCATATATTCCAAGAAGCTCGTTACATTGTGTTGTTTTACCCTTTTCGATTCATTCGATGTTATTTGTCTATATACGCTTGTTTAATCAGAAGTGAAAAATCTGTTATCAAGTTTGGTCAAGTTACTAGTAGAATATTAATTTTTCTGAATTCCATCTTGTTTATTGTGTTGACTGGATCTGCTTTGTTACATAGTGTCGAATATGCATATATGGTAAGCAAAGAATCATTTCTTTTGTGTATTGGTTGATTAATTTATTATCTAAAGTCCATCTACATCTACATTAGGATGCTGATATTACATTCTTGGATGGTAAAAATTATTAAATTACATAAATACCTGTATAATACTTTATGGATTTTTTGAAAACATTGTATTAATTAGTAAATTTATTAATAAATAGCTGTTTTCTTTACAACTATTATGTTGGGTACTGTTGGATATCATAGTCATATAATACCTGACAATGCTTCTGCTAGAATTTTTCTTTTGGTAATATTCACAACAGGTCTTATATTTATTCCGGTAATTAATCTTTATTTATTATTATTATTACTACTATTATTATTATTATTTGAAGAAACAATTGTCCAATTAATAAAATATTTCTTGTTTAGTATTCTATATCAGAATTGATTACATTGATACGTTCAAAATCTATATATGACAGACCCTTTAGAAAAATATCAAAGCAGCCTCATGTCATTATCATTGCCCCAACTATTGAATTGCCCTCGTTAAGACACTTTTTAAAAGAATTTTATTCTTTGGCACACGGTCTTGCAACTATTAACACAAAAGTATATTACCAAAAAATTATTTTTTAAAAAATTGAGGATAAATAATAATTTTTCATTATTACTATTTTTTATGTAGGTGGTAATTTTAAATCCTGCAGAACCAAATGCTCGTGTAAAGACGTTTTTGTCAGATCCTTTGTATGCACATCGTGTACAATTTATTAAAGGTAGCTCACTTGAATCACGTAGTCTAAAAAAAGCAAATGCAAAAAATGCTTCAGCATATTTTATTTTAGCCAAAAAGTATACACAACAAAGTGAGGCTATTGATGCAGAAAATGTTTTAAAGGCAATGGTAAATATGAAACATTTTTAAAAAAAATGATTTAAATACAATTAATTATTAACACTATTTCTAATATTATGATGAATCATCATTCAATAAACATAATAGGCATTAAGTAAACATGATGTAGGACCTAAACTTTATATCCAATGTATTCTTCCGGAGAATAAAGCTCATTTTGAAAATTTAAGTATGGTTTACAAAAAATCTTTATTTTGCTCTAAAAAAAATCATTTAATAAAATTATCGAAATTGATTATTAAATTTATAAATTATTTTGATCAGATCCTGAAATAATAATATGTATCGATGAATTAAAACTTGCTATACTTGCTCATTCATGTTTAACTCCTGGATTTTCTACTCTTTTGTATGGTCTTACAACATCATTCACTTATGAATCAACTTATGAATTAAAAAACACTGAAGAAAGGTATAATTCATCAATTGGCTTGGGAAATGACATCATTGAGGATTATATTGATGGCATTTCTCGATCTATTTACGCCACAAACTTATCAGATTACTTTATTGGCTATAATTTTCTCTCAGTTGTTGGTTAGTAAATTACAAACCTATATATGATATTGATGCTAAACTTATTACTTATTATTATTATTATTATTATACACATGTATGAACCCGTAGGTTGTTTATACGAAAGTCTAGGTGTTGTGCTGTTTGCAATCGCTATTCCAAAACAACATTCTACAACGGGACAATCAACCAGTTTGTCATACAACCAAAGTAATTGTGAAGGAGAAAATGCTAAAAATTATATGGTTTTGATCAATCCTGGTGATTATATTCTAAGAGGAGATGAAATTGGTTATATAATTGCTTCTGACAGTGAATTGGCTGATGGTGTTTCCAATTATAAGTGGCACAGTTTACAAATTCGAAACAATGGCAATTTATCTTCTGAGCCACAACAAACTTCTTCAGAAAGACAACCATTATTGTCATCCAATGTTTCAAAAAATAATGTTAGTGTTGGACATAGTGATACAAAGAAAAGGTCAAATCTTTCTAAAAAACCTGATAAACAGTATCATGAGTATCCTCACAAGCCCGATTCTAGTACACTACGTCATCATCGTGCACTTTCTATTCCTCTTGCTTCTGCAGCAGACCACGACCATGATCGTCAACAACAACATCACCACGATCGCCGTATTCATAGCATAGATCCTTCATCTTCCTCTTTAAATGCTTTTCTTGATAATGATCAAATAAACTCAATGCTTGATACAGTTAGTGGACACATATTGTTGTGTGATTATTCAACAGCAACTTTTCCACGTAATTTAGATTGTTTTGTTGGTCCATTACGCAAAGCACATTTGGAAAAGTTCACACCAATTGTAATTCTTTCACCAGTAAGACCTACACAAAGTCAATGGAAAATCTTGAGTCAATTTGATCAAGTGTATATTGTTCAAGGGAATCCAATGACGCGAGAAGCCCTTGATATTGGCAAAATTAAATTTGCAAAACAGGCTGTAAAGCATTTATATTTATTTCGATTATAAAAATCATTTGAAGTTAATTAGTTGTTAACTCAAATTTTCTACCTTCATTATTATTTTAAACATTTAGGTTATATTAACTGATTCCATTGGAATTTTAAAGTATGTATTGTTTTTTTTAGATATAATTTTACCACCATTATATAATTATGATTTTTTTGTTTATTATTTTTAAATAATTAGGAACGGGGAAAAGACCGAAGATGCACCAGCAATGTTGGTTTACTTGAACATTAAAGCAATGTGTAATGATAAAGATGTTGATGTTTTTGTAGAGTTTGTACATATGGATAATATGAAATTTATTTCAGAAGATACATTGGTTATTAATAAGAATATGCAAGGTAATAATATTTGGTCAATAATTTTAATTTTTTTTTTCATGTATATTTATACTAAAAAAAAGATATTTATATTTATAATAGCACATAATTCACCAGCCTTTATGGCAGGGATTTGCTTTTCTTTATCTATGTTGGATAGCATAATATGCCAATCATTCTATCAACCACATATAGTTGCTATAATTCACCAACTACTTTTTGGAGCTAACTTCCATTCAGGTGCAACTTATTCTGCACCCGCTCATTCACACATCTTTCAAATTCCTGTGCCAGTAAGATTCATAGGTTCACAATATGGATTACTGTTTCAGTTCTTATTGGATGATAAAAAATCTATACCGTTAGGTCTATATCGTAGTAATAAAGCAAAAACACCAAATGGTATGGTCAAATGTTTTAAATATGTATACACTTGTCCTAAATATAATGTAATATTAAAAGAAGATGATAAAGCTTTTGTGTTGAGTAAACGTATTCCATCTGGATTATGATTCTTTATTTTTTTTGAAAATCAGATACATTTTATGTAAATAGTAAGTAATTGAAACAAAAAATAATAAATAAATAATTTTCTATATTCCAGCAAATGCCAAGGGGAATGGCTACACAATATAGTAACATTAACTCTATTAACACTTAAATATAAAAAAGTCCTTCATTTTTAAATTTCTAGTCTCGACAAGATCATGCTTGCCTCATTTTCACCTTTATGGCTTAAAATGAAACAGAGTATAAAGATGATGAATTTATCTATTATAAGATGGAGAAATTTGATAATGTTGTTGCCACGCTGATATATTCAATTCGCTTGTATAAAGTCCAAGGATTTGGTTTGTGCAACTATTAAATTAGAAATTATATTTATAAAAACTTTTTGATAATGTCTATATACTATTGTAATATGCATGTAAAATCATTAAAATAAAATCACAAACAATCATAGAATTGTAAGCGAAATAATTGTCTCTTTCATTTATTCAAAAAAAATATTCCATATTCCATCAGAATTAACATAATCGTGATATACAATATTAACCAACCACCAAGTTCCACCTAATCCCTTTAATAATTTTTGAGTCTCTGATCCTTTTTTATATAAATATTGCCATTCCTCCCATAAAGCAAATGATTCATCCTATTATACAATCATTAATCATATTATTATCAATTGTTGTTCATTATTTTTTTGGAAAAAATTTTTGTACAAACAAATACCTTCCAAGCTTTAAAAGAAACCTCATCGATTATTGTGGGTTGCACTATTTCTTTGCCAGGAAATACACCCCAAGTTACTGCAGAAGACTCGTCATCATTATTATTGGTTTTAAAATGTCCCTAATAATAATAATAATAAATATGTATGAATATATGTACGAATGCATATGTTTTATAAATAATAATAATAAGATCAAGATCTTGCTTGTTTATCAGCTGCATAAAAAGTAACCCATGGATTTCCTAATAATTTTTCAATCAAATTATCCAAAATTTCTTTGCTAACAAAAAATTCCACAAAAGCTTTTTGATAAACATATCCATCTTTCGGACCCCAACCAAACACACTATCGTCACTTTTTACTCCATTTACAGAAGGTTGAGAACTTATTGTTAAATACCCCAGTTCATTTAATTTTATCAAATTCGATCTAATAATTTCAGATTCTGGTAATAAAGGCTCTTCTGACCACGGTAATGCTGGTATATCACCAAGTACGTAAGACTTAAATATTTCTATGATATCCGAGATAGAAGTTGGTTCCTTCCAATATTCTAATGCCATTTCTGCCTACATATGTGGATGTGTGTGCACAATACTCAATTCAGTGTACTATATGTACGTCGTTCACTGTAATAAATGTCAAGAAAACTTACTGTAATTCTCGAGGATACTCCAAATCCATTCAATTCACCAAATGCTAATAATAAATAATAATATTCAATGTTTTAAATCTATATATATTAATAGCGAAATAAAATAAAATATTTACCAGGTGATCTTGCATCACCCCATCTACCATTAGGAAAGTTATCCCAATCTTCAGATCTACCTAAATAATCTCCACTTTGCTCTTTCCATATAACAGGTTTAACATTTGAAAGCGACCCATCATCTTCCTAGTATTTAAATAAATAATAATATGGTTTGTTTAATAAAATAGTTCATTTGTCATTTCATTACCAAGATGGTTTATTTACCTGTCTTATAATATCATTCGTTGCAAATCCTACGTTTGGCCTATATTTCTTGCCAAGATTATTAATTTTTTCTTCATCTGTTTCAATAAATTTTAATCTTTCTAAAATCAACTTGATAGATTTCTCCAAATTCATTGTACACAACTGAAATCCTAATATCTTGTGCTCTTTATATAATTTATTTATAATTGATATTGCAAGATTAACTCCATAATCTTTAACTGCCTGATCATCATGCTGAATATATTATATTAATTATATCGTTAATAAAATAAATACATTAGAGATCAAATGATGTGTCATAATCTTTTTTCTACCTTTATAGGTTCTAAATCATTTAATATTTGAGGGGGGATATATATTTTACAAAGATTTGTAATTCTTCTAAAACTATGATAACCTTGAATTGGCATTATACAAGGAATAATTGGTACAGATATCCCTAAAGTTTTAAAATCGTAAATTAACATTTTTTCTTAAAAAATAACATTCCTAGATAAGTTTTTTTAAAAAGTTGCTTTACCAATCTTTCGACAATTTTTTTCCCAATTTATAAATAAATCTACATCATAAAATAATTGTGAAATGATAAAATCTGCACCTGCATCCACTTTTTCTTTTAGATATAAAAGATCTTGACTCTTATTATTAGATTCAGGATAGCCTTCAGGATAACCTTAATTATCAAGCAACAGTAAATCATTAACAATCAACTGATCTATTGATATATTGTTTTATTGATTTATTGATTAATGAAATTATTGATTAATGAATTTACCTGCCACCCCAATACAAAAATAATCACCATATTCTTTTTTTATAAATCTAACCAAATCAATTGCATATTGAAATTCTTCATCAGTAGTTGTCCAATACTCTTGTCCACGTGGTGGATCTTTTAAAAAAAAAAGAAAATTATAATTTCGATAACTAAAATTAATAATGATAATTCATTCATTAAATTTTGCAGCATGACAAGATTTTCAAATATTATATTTATTTTTACCACCACGAAGTGCCAAAATATTTTGTATTCCAGCATCTTTAGCTTCCTATATATATAATTTTTAAAAATCAAAATTTGTTTTTAGCTTTAATAGTTAAGAAAAAACAACTACGACAAGCGTGAATTGACCTTTAAAGCCTTTTCTACAACTTCTTTAACTACATTTGTACATGTTAAATGCATACATGATTCTAAACCATACAATGTTTGAGCTGTAGTACACAATTCTGTTGTTTTATTAGCAGTGCTGCCACTTGCTCCCCATGTAAAAGAAGCAAATAATGGATCAAAATGTGACATGCGTTTAAGTCTGTTGTAAAGATTTGATAACGCCTAAAAATAATGAATTTCAAAAAAATTATTATTATTCAATTTCCATTATTTAAAATTTTTTTTAAATATATTTAGTCTTTACTTCATCTGTTTTTGGAGGGAAATATTCAAATGAGTAATAAGGCTGAAGAGGTGGTAAAGAACTTATTTTATCGATTATTTTCATTTTTTTTTTTTAATAATAAATATCAATTTTTAAAAATTGGTTTATAATTGATTATTTATTTCTTAAAAATTTTTTTTTATATGATATAATATCATATATATAAATAATTCAAGGGGAAAAATGTTCATTTAATTTAGCAACAAGTCTTTTACGGTATGAAGAAACATACATGAATCTTATATAACAACGTACGTAATTATTATTATTTTATCATTTTTCAAAGTTTTCAAAAGAAAGTCAACAAAAAGATTTTTAGCAATTAACGAATAATTTATCAATAGATCTTTAAACAATTATGGTATAAAAAACCCCCTGAAAATGGTGTTGCAAAAACTCCATTAAAAGTCCATGATGCAGCTCAATAACTTTGTTTAAAACTATTGGTTCAATAAACATCAAATATTAATGATAAAAGGACTTTTTTTTAGCAAATAATCAAGTACTGAAGATGCTGGTTGCCGTGATAAAGGTACATTTTGATAGTGGACTTAAAGGTGGGTGTTAGAACTGTTTTTTCGCATGTACTATTTTTTCTTGCTTTTTATAGTTCTGCCGAGACTAGAATGTTTGCGGAACAAGTGTTAGGCATAAACTTATAACAAAACAAACTGATGCAGCTGGAAAAAATATAAAAAAAAACCTTATAACAAAGTGATCAATAATTTATGAAACAATTAAATAAGAATAATATTATATATCTCTTTAATTGAAGGCTCTGATAGAATTTTTATTTTTTAAAAAATGTTTGTTATTGACATTACGTTCATCACTTGATTTTGATTTAATTAGAGCATCTCACGCCTCAAGATCTGTGTTTATTAATTTAACCATTGCTTTCCTGGTACATTCTAATAAAGTTATAGGTCAAGTCTTCTCTAAGATACACACTCGGTTTATTTGTTTGGAAATTGGATATATTGTGGCAAACCTTCATTGATTGGAATGTCATTTAGTTTAATGATTAACTGATAAACATTTGTTTAATTTTTTACCTAGGTTTTAAGCATTTCATTGCTAACTTTGATGGGCCTGTGGCTTTGCTATTCAGTAGTGATGTTAAAATTTGTTTCCATTTTGAGTCCATTACACCATTGTAGATTTCGGGATTTATGTCATCTTTTGGATGGTATTGAGGGTTCCAATGATCATTTAAAGTTCTTGATTCATTTTATGTTACCTGCCACATTTTGATTTTCACTGGGTCAATTAGCATAATATTATTATTTTCTTCATATATAACTCTATCTATAATTATGTGCTTATGTTCCCTTTCCAATATAGAATTTATAATGAAGATAATGAAGCCTTGGCTCTATAATCCTTGCATACAGTCAACCCTTGTTTCAACGAATTTTGGTTCTGTCCCCCTTTTTTTATTAATTAAAAATTTTTGTTTCAACGAATTTTATATTAATATATAAATCGTGTTTACAACGACAACGAATTTTTTTGGTAGGGGTCTTGGAATAAGAACTAATCGCGTTTCAACGAATTCACGTGACAATAGATCAACATGTAAATAAATAAATTAAATCATATATGGGGCATGCTGCAACAAAACCAGACAAAATGATCATTTGTATGACTGAGAATTTCAGGGATCAAAATTGTTTCTAGTATCATAATTGTACTAATGTGATCATGATATTTGTCTAGACAAAAATAATAATATGAAACTAATTTACATTAGGTCTACCATGTACATTGTTGTGGTTGCTGGCTTTCGATTGGTTTGTGAACGTTTTCTCCACCAAGGCTGAGGCACAAAGTGCTGATTGTGAAGGCTATGC